GGAGAACCCACGTGGTGCCAGCTTCCCGGGCCACCCTCCGTCTGCTCCCTCCTCTGCAGGAAGCCTGGCGTCTCTGGCATTTCTCGTGACACACGGGGAGAAGTGGGTATTTCTCTACCTTGCTACGCAAACCATGAAACTTTTAGGAGTAAGACCAGACTTGGATTTCTTTCATCGAGATAACATGGGCCCGTGATGATGCATCGACACCGCACGCCTTTCTGGAAGGACTGCTTCTAACTCATCGGGTTCTGAATGTCCTGGGGTTTACGGCACGAGAGGTAATTTTATATTTCTCAGTCCGTGACACTTAGGGAAAATGGGTGATGGGCACTGAGGAGGGCACTTGTTGGGATGAGCACCGGGTGTCGTGTGTAAGCGATGAACCACGCGTACACTCTCAAAGCCAAGAGCACACTGCATACAGTATGTTGGCCAACTTGACAATAAGTTATCAAAAATAAACAAATAAACATTTGAAAAGATAATTACCATGAGCCATTTGGTAAAGTACACCTGTCGAAGAGAAATCATTAAGGGTAATACTCAGCAGGATAGAAACGAGAAACAGAATAAACTATATTTTACCATTAAGAGTTCTACTCATTTGTCAAAGCGATGTTAGAATGTTGCTAACACAGAAATAAAAGGTGCCATTTTACTCAAACCCAAAACAGCTAATGATAAATGTAAAATAAATTCTCAGCATAAAGGCCAGAATCAGAACTTCTCCCTCCCACTCACAGAGTCACACCCGGACGCAGGTATGTACATGACCAGGAGGGCGTGTGCTTGTCAGCGGCTACGCTCCGCGTGTGCGAGTAGCCAAGTCTTCTGGCTCTTTCTAAGAGAAAGGGAAATACTCGCATTCGCTCCTAAACAGCATCACCGGCCAAGCTGCAGACATGCCTTTCTAAAGGCAATCGTGACTTAGGTTGGTTCAAATCGTAACCTGGCCGTTGTAACAAGGCCCACGCAGCCTAGGAGCACCGACCGTGTGGACGGGAACGAGGCCCACAAGGCCTGGGAGCATCGAACGCCTGGACGGAGCCGGGGCTTTGGCCGCAGGAGAGGAGGGAGCGGCCATCAGGGAGGAGCAGGGCTGCCGCAGCCACTGGGAATTAGCAGAGCTAACGGGAGGCTGGGACTGAGGTGAGGGTTGGGATGCAGCATGAGCAAAGGGTCTGAGGCAGCCAGAAGGGACATGGGTGCCTCCGAAGCTTCAGAGGGCAGGGTCTGGACACTGCCATGTGCTCTGTGGGTGGTGCTATGTGACTCTCTGACACAAAAACACAGAAAGGCAGCCGGGTTTCAGGACTGAGATTATGAGACTGGTTTGGGGGATGGTAACTGAAGAGCCAGGCCACAGACACAGAGGTCTGAGCCGAGTGGCTGAGGACACAGCCTGGGGGTGCCGGTGGTGTCCAGTGTCCGGGTGGTGGGTACCCTAAGCAGGGGGAGGTTACCCCGGAAGGCTAACGGAGGGCTGGTCACCCAAAGACCCCAAGGAGGAAGGGGTGAAGCAGAGGCTGTGATGTGGGACAGGGGTGTGTCCGGAGGGAGCTGGAAGCCACTGCTGCTTCCCACAGGCTGAGGTCTGGGGACCCACAGGGCCCTCGTGTCTCAGGGACGGAGGCTGAGCACAGAGGCAGCTGTGGGCAGCGCTCAGACTGAGGGAAAGACGGCACAGGGCTCAGGCCCCCTTCATCTCGTAGTTCCGTTTTAGAAAGGGAAGCCGGCTTCCCCATTAGAGAACGTTCCAGAGCCCTTGCGTTCAGTTTCCGGAAGCTCGTCCTCCAAGGTTTGCTGTGAACACTGCTAACCATAAAGTACTTATTTTCCGCGGAAGGGGTTATAATTTTCGATAGGAATAACTGAGAGTTAGTCACACTTTATAAATACAGATTATTTTTCTAGACGCTAACTCAAAGAATAAAAACATTCTCGTATGGAATTTGGGTGCATTTCTGTGGTTACATTTTTACCAACAATAATTCATAAAACAGACAATAAAATATCTGCCTGTCAGGAACATTCATTCTAGATGGGATTTAATTCTAACTGCAGTGTGTCATTTAAACCATTTTTGATTAAAACATAAATAATCACAGTTAATTCCTCATTAGTTAACTCCTCAATGCAATTACTAACCCGCTGGGTACCCGAGGGATGTCTGTCCTCCCGAGCTGGAGTCTAACAAAGATGCGTGAAAAATAAAGAGTGGATGTTAATGAGCATGACGGTATTTACGATGTTGAACTTGCACATTTTGTGTGACTGTTTCCATAATAGTGCAATTCAGTGCTGTAACAAAACGGTATCTGTCCAAATTTCAAAAGAGTTCAAAATAACTATCAAAACTAAGGAGAGTCAATGTCAAATGCCAACGGTATGGTCCGATTTATTCGTTCCCAACAACTAACAGGCGCGGCACCAGGCTCGTTAGAACCCAGCCCCGTCAGCCCGGCATTCCTTTAAGTGGAGACAGGTTTATTTCCCTAAATCTTCATTCTTTGCTTAATTAAGCATAGCTAATTAATAACATTTACAGGCTCTAAAACAGCAGACACCTTAGAAAACACAACTATTTTACCCAATAACTTTAGTTGAAAAATCACAAAATCGTAACTGTTCGGCACCAAAGCAGATGTGGGATCAGCACGGTCCGGAAGGGCGGGCTTCAGGGGCGAGGGGTCAGGCCTCACGGCTCTGGGTCCCCAAGAGCAGGGAGGTTTAGTCTTTGACACAGAAGTAGGAGAGGTCGAGCCGCTTCAGTGTGGGCACGGACTGGGGGGACAAGTGACATCTACTGTTCACTGGAAAGAATCTGAAGCCTTTCATCCAAAACCACCGCCTGGACGACAGGACGAGGTGACCAGCCTGAGGGTAACCACAAGTACCGGCCCCTTTAAAATGCAAATACGTTTCTTCTGGACCTTCTCAGGCATTTTTCACCCTTCCTTATCTCAGTAAAATACCTGTCGGTTCTATTTAAATAGCAGGTGCTGCATCAGAGATTCAAAACGACCCTGGGCACCCAAACAGCACATTCTTCGGGTGAGACACCAGAGGGACGAACACCACCGGCTGTACGGCTGTACTCACTACGGGGCGGGGGAGGGCCTGCCCCCTGCCAACAGGACACAGACAGCCATGGAGGGCCCCTCCCCTTCCGGAACTGTCCTTTCTGGGCCTGAGGTCACCAGGTGCTGCCCCCAGGGACAGGTAAGCTCTAGGGTCTGGGCGAAACGCCCACCTAAGTTAATTCCTCCTCAGCCAACAGCACAGACTCTCCTCCCTCCTTCCCGTCAGAAAGGAGCCAGGAGCCCAGGAGCCCGAGTAAGTGAGTCCTTCCCTGACGGAATACAGTCAGCCTCTCCCAACGCAGGTCTCAGGGGCATCCTGGGAAGCGGAGCTACTTAAAGTTGGGAGTTTTAAAATCCAGGTCTCTGTTCAGGTATCAGACGGACCTGCTGCTGTAAAAGGTTGTCGTCCCGCGTACGTATGTTTGGGAAACAAGGCGATTTCAACCTCTGGGGTTTTCGATAAATAAGCATGTTTCTAACTCGGATCTTGTTAAAATGTTCACTGGCAATTACATCTCCTGATAAAATCTGATTCCTCATTTTAAATTACGTGAATCTCGCTTATGATGTCACAGACCTCACCAGAAATTCCACAGTTGAAACCAAAGATGAGTCAGCAAGGAGAAGAAACACATAACAAAAGCATAAAATGAAGGGACCGCCTTGCCGGGGGTGGGGGTGGGGGGTCGCACGCGTACATGACCTCCCACAGTAATTCACATCTCTAATTACCAACCGCACGTTTAAGCGACCTGTTCTCACCTTTCCAGGGGCAAGCTCATTGCACACAACAGCAGGCGTGCTGCTGGCCCACGCGGCTTCGTGCTTCCAGCCCCTTGGACTGGACAGTGTTGCTATTAGGGCACCCAGAATGTGCCCTCGGCACCAACCGCCAGCAGCAGCCTTGGACCCTAGAAGCAGAGCACACTCTTCCACTGCACTGCTGCTTCTCGAGCAACGCACTTCAGCAAGGGTGGGGGGTGGGGGAGCCGGGGTCCAGCAATGCACTTTAGCAGGGGTGGGGGGTGGGAGAGCAGGGGTCCAGCAATGCACTTCAGCAGGGGTGGGGGGTGGGGGAGCCGGGGTCCAGCAATGCATTTAGCAGGGGTGGGGGGTGGGGGAGCCGGGGTCCAGCAATGCACTTCAGCAGCGGTGGGGGGTGGGGGAGCCGGGGTCCAGCAATGCACTTTAGCAGGGGTGGGGGGTGGGAGAGCAGGGGTCCAGCAATGCACTTCAGCAGGGGTGGGGGGTGGGGGAGCCGGGGTCCAGCAATGCATTTAGC